CAAAGATTAATTTACTGGTAATCATTAATACAGGTACGTATTGATGTGGCTTGACATCCTCTTCCCAAAACGATGCATGTGTAATCTACTCTCAATTTGACGAAAGAATCTACCACACGTCATCATTAGTTCTACCAACAGTTAACATTTGCATTACTACACCTTGTGACGAATGTTTTATTCCTAAAGTTACCATGCTACAACCAGTAAATTGTAGAATAACCAATACTGTTTCATAATATTTTTCATAGCGATTAGCCTATAGAACTAATGACCAACTTGCCTCGTAATCGTGCCTCTCGTCGGATCTCTCTCTCGTGTTCTGTGCATACGTCACAGGTGAGTTTAGTGACACGCCCTTCGGACGATTCATACAAAAAATGAGACTGGCATTCCCATTTCTTAAATGTCGTAATTAGTAGACCTTTGTGAGTTTTTTCGCCGCCATCTCAAACTTTCATGCGCGATTCATCAGTTAGCAGACTAAAATAGCAACCCGCATGCGCACATCACATAACGTTATCTGTTCCCCCCCAACACTGAAAACAAAACAAATCGAAAGTAAATTAGAAGAAACACACACCACACTACAAACACACATACAGGCACAGTGAAATCGCGTTGATCACACAGGAGAGATTTGATCGCGTACAGTCAACTCGTGTGCGGTGACTTTTATGGTTAAAAATTTTTCGGTACCGTCAAAATAACGCCACGGAAACGACACGCTACCGGTAACAATCGTTACCGTGAAATCCTCAGGCATGACATAGTTTTTTTTTTTTTTTGACTGAGAAATTTCCTTGCGTCTCAAAAACGCACATTATTTGGAACTGTGCGTCCCGCGGGGAAATTATGCGTCTAGGACGCGGGACGCAGAGGTAACGAGATGGCTGCAATAGACAATACAATAGATGCTAGTATATGCCTGCTGTATTTGTCTTTCAGATTCATGCTAACTGTCGTATCAGGAGGGTCTATTTCTCAGACAGGCTCTACTCTGAGGATGAGCTACCAGCAGAGTTTAAACTCTACGTCCCCGTCCAGAGCCAGAAGGCCAAGGTGCGAAACACACTTCACTGCTGTGATTGTAAATAATGGCATGTAGATTTGCATTATTTGAATGTATGACCCACACCCCTGTTTTTTTTTCTTGCAGCAGTAGAAGTCCCAAAGAAAAATGCACCATTTCCCCAAACCTGATGCATGTTTGAGTTGTATAATAGTGTGTGTGTGTGTGTGTGTGTGTGTGTGTGTGTGTGTGTGTGTGTGTGTGTGTGTGTAGTTATTTCTTGTGCTATTTTTATGATGAGTGTTTTTTTCATAAATGTGAATAAAGGAGAGAATAAGTCTTTTGCTCATAAGTTGTTTGTTTACAGCGGTGGACCTTAACAATAACAGATTGAAGTGTGTACTTCGGCAATCAAGATGCAAACACCCATTTTTCATTGAAAATACCAATTTGAGGTCGATTTCACCGTGTTTTTTAGAATATTTTGTGTTTACAATCTCTCTCTCTCTCTCTCTACATGTATATATATCTCTACATGTATATATATATATATATATATATATATATATATATCCCGTTTTTCGTGGAAATTGTATATTGCAGGTAGATTTATCAACCGTTTTGAATAATATTCAGAGCAGGGGTCACCAACCTTTTTGAGAGTGAGAGCTACTTCATGTGTCCTGATTGTGTGAAGGGCTACCAAATTGATACACGTCTGAAATAACATTTGTACAAATTACATTTAATAATATTAGAATGTGTTATTTTTAATACTTAATGATTTTAATTTTCAGGCTCTAATCATCTTAAAGATGTCTCACAATACTGCTCGTGTTTGCATTTTTAAATCATAATTTCTACTAGCAAATCACAATGTCCAGGCACTGGCAGGCTACTCAAGTCTTCCCGGGCTACCTGGTGCCCGCGGGCACCACGTTGGTGAACCCTGATTTCGAGTAAAATAGAAACATCCATCCATCCATTATCCTGGTCGGCTATCCTCACGTGGTACCGAAGAAACCTATCCCAGATGTCTTCGGGCCGTAGGCGGGGTATTCCCGATCCGGTTTCCAGCCAATCAGTAAAACAATATTTTTATACAAAATAGAATACATCGTGAAACGTGTCCTTTTTCTTTTATCTGGCTCCGCCCATTACACGTTCACCATTGACAAGCACTCTGAATAAAGTAGTCGGGTGTGTGACGGAAAAATAAACCGGAAGCAGCATCTACTGTTAGTCAAAACAAAGCAACTGCACATCCTAATTTACCTGATTTATCAAGTATAATCTTGCTTGTGACACAAGTGAAATGCAGGCTTGCAATATACACATTTATTACAGTAATACACGAATCACACGTTTAACCGCAAAAGTTACAACATGATTTTTATATTTCAAACCTGGGTGTGGGGAAACTAAAGTGTTTTGTTTTGAAAATAATAACCGGACAGCAAACACTTGAATCCTCCGCCCTTGGCATTTTCAGAAGGGGAAAGAAAGAAAGGGTGTTTCTCTTTGGCGCCCGGTTCTTTTAAGTGAGAAAGAAGTCCGTCGAAGCTGTCACTTCATTCTTGACCAGCAGCGTCTGGGTGGATTCAATTGGAGCACCCTTTTGGCCTGACAAATCCTAGAAGCGCTTCTTGATTCATGTCTCAACATGGCGAACCGAAAACGAGACTCAGCGACAGCGATTAGCCCCGGTGATGTTTTCCAAACACCGGGGAAGAGAGTGTCAGTGGATCGGACGCCAAACTCGGACTTCTCCCGATGGGGAATTGAAGAAACGTGCCAGTTCTTGCGAGGAGAAGGCCTTGCTGAGTGGGAAACTGTATTTCGAGGTTAGTGTCATTCATTTAGGCTTTGCATTTGCTTGACTATAACTCACAACACTTGCCGGTCAATGGCAACAACAATGTCACGTTTTTGTCGGTAGAACATAAAATCAATGGTGCCGTGCTGCGATATCTCAAGAAGGATGACCTGGAAAAGATAGGCATTAAGTAAGTCTTATTCGTTTTTTTAACAACAACGGGAGGGGCAAGCTGTTCTTTCCGTTTATCAGTTTATCCTGTCCTGTCGTGTTCTGTCCTTTCTCAGGAAACACACTTCCATTCACCAGCCTAAACATTAGATAGACGAGGACTCCTTATCCTACCCCCTACAAAAAAAAAGCAGTGATGCGTTCTCCAACGTTTACACCAGTCAGCACCTCAATAATTCACTGGCTCTCCCAAGTACCATCATCATGACCAACAACAAATTAAATACAACTGAATTGTACTTACAACGTGTGCTATACTGGATTAAAAAAAAGTTTAAGCCACATCTCGCATGAAGCACATTTTCAACATTGAATCACTCGAGTGAGCCCACTATACTCTACTAGTACCACTACAGTATTGCTACATCGCACTAGTTGTCCTTACACCGCTCCTGTAGATTATAAGTGGTGTACCTAATAAGCTCTATGCTACTTTTCTTTCAGTGCATGTGTAACTACTTTTTTTTTCTTCGTCAAGGCCTCTTGGTGACCGAATGCGGATCCTCCACAGTCTGAGGAAGCTATGGCACATAGAAGAGGGTCCTCAAACAAATAAGGTTTATCCTCACACTTCACTTTTAAGTACAGTACTTGTATCAGAAAAACTGAAACATACCAATAAGTTGAACCGCAAGGGAGTGGCAAGACGGAGTTAAGAAACAATGGAAAAAGAGGACGGTGTGATAAACTGAACACAAGACAGTATGGTATAATTAGTGATTCTCTGTAATCGAAACCACAACAGAAGTGTCCGCCGACCCTATTCAATTCCCAAAGGTGACTCATTTGTTTAATCGACAGTGCAAATCAAATTATGGACATAAATGTAATGATTCATCTCAGCTATCACCAGTGATTGGATAATAAAACTTTATGAAGCACTTAAGATTAAAATAAAAATATCATACATGCTTCAGCAAGCTTCATTAGCCCATCACTTGCTACTACAGAGAAAGAGAAACCTTATTGACTGATTAAAATGTCTGAACAACCCATGATTAAAAAATATATATATATATATATATATTATTATTATTATTATTATTATTATTATTATTATCGTTTTGAGGGGGATGGATTTGAGCACATGTGTAATCATTGACTAACTTGCTGCTTGTGTGTTTGCTGTCCTGCCTTTTATCAGGTGTTTAATGACCCCATCCACGGGCATGTGGAGCTGCATCCACTTCTTGTCAAAATCATCGACACACCTCAGTTCCAGAGACTTCGAAATATCAAACAATTGGGAGGGACGTACTTTGTTTTTCCTGGAGCATCCCACAACCGTTTTGAGCACTCCATCGGGTATGCCTGTGCATCTGTTTGTGTGTGAGAGCAATATCCACTGATCCTATTTCTCCAGGTGTGGACAAAATGGCCGTCCACTGAAATCCCAGAATTTGTATTGTTTTTTATTTTTTGTTTGTTTGTTTTTTTTTTTTGGGTGGGGGAGTTTTTTTTTTTTCACAAAAATCCAGTTCACAATTTTAATCATTTTTTATGCCCCCCCTTCATTTATAGAAAATGCAAATGACAACAGTGTCATTTTCCTCCTCCTATTGGGTTTGATTTATTTCTCCTCATACCAAACAAGCAAGTTTTTGCCCTTAGCATTAACATGCATCAGCTTCCACATAAAAAATATTGGAAATACTGTTTTTCTTTCCACATAATGGGAAAATAAGTGAGGAGAGGGATGTCCTTTTTGTTAAATTATGAAAGCTTTAATTGATATATTTTAAATGTCGAACAATTTAACATAATATTTTAAAACTACAAAAAAAAGCAATTCGAATTATTAATAGATCGAAATATACGGAACCCACAAATCCACGATTTATCAAATTAAATCCGATGAAATTTCATGACCTGGTTGACTTTAAAATCGCCGAATTAATGTACAAAGTACACAATAACCTGCTCTGCCAAAACATTCTGAAGTTTTTCGAAATTCGAGAAAGCAGCTATGATTTAAGAGGTACCAACTTATTCAAAAAACTCAAAACAAGAACAAACATCAAGCAAAGAAGTGTATCTATCAAAGGTGTTAATCTGTGGAATAATTTCGAAACGGACCTGAAAATGAGTAAATCGCTTGCTGAGTTCAAAAACAAATTCAAAAAAATAGTACAAACTACCTACATCAATCAGAGTTAAAATGATAAATTCTAAACATTAAATATAATGATAAATCAGAACTAAGTTGATAAATAGAGAAAGGTATTGAAATATCCATTATGAATGCAAGAGAAAATGAACACAAGAGTGCCAGGGTGTATATGTATAAAATCTTGATACAAACCAAAAGTATAAAAATATCACGGTTAAGGGTGAAGTATGAGCCTTAATGGAGACTTCTTTCTTCTTACTTTCTTTCTTTTCTGATTGATATAAAAATGATTCAATAGATATAAACATAACACGGGGTAGGACTAGATAAGTTCTTTACTTCTTCCTACTCCCTTGAACATAATAACTGTGTTGAATGATGACTAATTTCTCTTTCCTCTTTACTATTTTATTTCCCTTATTTTCTGTCAAATTATTACTGTATGTTTTATGTTCAATAAACAAACCAAACCAAACCAAACATTAAAATGAGCCATCAAATTGCATGGCTTGGCTCATCTATATCATCACTGTCAGGCGGAAACCCTCTATGTCCAAATACTGTATTGTCAATTTCATATTGTTATGATGCCACTTTAAATGATGGGGTATTTGGTAACTCGAGCAACATCAAAATTTGCTGTTGACCATTCTTCGGGCTTAGAAGTGCATACCTTTGGTCGAACTATTTCAACAGGTCGATAAATCTCTGCTATTGCAATCTATAAATGGACATTATGTCTTGCTATCGACTCAATGATTGCCATTTGCTGGCCGTACAAAAAACAATGTGAAGATGATTTTTCTAATGTTGCCTCTTTCTTTTGGAAAAAGTATTTCAGCGATGATTGGAAATGTAGTTGTGAGAGGGGTCAGTAAATTACAAACTGCATTTGTAAGCTGGTTGCTATCTTTTCACTAGTGGTTGTTAATACAAGCAGTGCACATTAGGGAGGACATATTTTGATTAAAAAAAAAACAAACTCATCCTTAGCAATTGAATCAATAACATTGATTTTAAATGTTTCAGAGTGGGTTACCTGGCAGGACAACTTGTGAAGGCACTAAATGAGAGGCAGCCAGAGCTTCTCATTTCTCGGAGAGACATCCTTTGTGTGCAGATTGCTGGACTCTGTCACGATTTGGGTAAATTGGGCCTACACAGTGGGTGCATTCTGTTTCCATATCAATGGAAGTGGAAGGGACAGAAGTAATGACTCTTGCGTTTTGCCCCTCAGGACATGGGCCTTTTTCGCACATGTTTGATGCCAAATTCATCCCCAAAGCACGCCCAAATATTTCTTGGAAGGTAACTTGTCATCTTGTAACTTGTCATTGAAACTGTTGCAATGTTAGTCATCAAGTAACTGATGTGTGATAGTCTTGTTAAAGTGAAGTATTCTGATGCTGTTAATGTGACATTAGTCCATCTGAAGATAAACATTGTGATTGTTATATGATGATTCTATGATAACAAAACACCTAATGTGTAAGTGATGTCTGGAGTGAGACCAAGTATTTCCTTGTCACGATTTCGGAAATAGGATCTTTTGTTTTACGATACTTTCAATTCTGAATGGTGACATCAGTTTCAGTTTTTGTAAGAGAATCATTCCCTTGACCATGCCTCGCTAATGTCATGACACTGGAGCAGCATTGCACATTTGCCGCCTGGCAAGAAGTTGTTTTTTCCCCATTGCAGTTCAGGTCAAGTTTGAGAAGCTTCATGGTTGTCACACAGCTTTTTAGCAATTTACTCGATGCATGGCAAGTTTAGCTAAACAGGATCTGTTCTAGACAAACAACACAGTAGAAGATGTGAATACAAGCATTTAGTTATAAGTTGAATTCCTTTATTTTCTGACATATATTTAGTTGCATGTCCACCTCACAGTGCAGAGGTGCAGGGTTCGATTCTGCCTCTTGCCTTCATGTGTGGAGTTTGCATGTTCTCCCCGTGCCTGTGTGGGTTTTCTTCGGGTTCTCCGGTTATCTCCCACATTCCAAAAATATGGATGGTTGGATGGATAATTCATTTATTTTCAGCCAGTATGACTCCAGTAGACACCCCTGTACAAATCATAATTTTACTTTTTGTTCAACATCATCATCATCATCATCATCCGTGAATCAGGAAGTAGTTCGCCATCAGATGGACCAACAAACCTGAATACAGATCAATTGGATGTCTGCTCTCTGCTGAGAAACATTCCATTTGTATGAGGTCACTACAGAAATGCATGAAGCAAAAATAGATGAGTAGATGGTTTTTTTTTTTATCCATGACGAAGGCATCCTGCTTATATTACACAATCAAATTCCAGCATGAAAACGCATCGCTTAGCATGTTTGACTTCCTGGTGAAGAAAAATGACTTGAAGCCACTGATGGAACAATATGGCCTGGTCCTGCCTGAGGACCTGCACTTCATCAAGGAGCTGATTGCAGGACCTCTGGACGCAAATGCAGCCTTCCAGGTAATGCACACTGTCCATATCATCATGTGCGATTCAGATTTGATGCTCCTCTTGTGCTGTCCATCTTCACAGTGGCCCTATGTAGGCCGTTCAAAGGACAAGTCCTTTCTCTATGAAATTGTGGCCAACAAGCGAAATGGCATTGACATGGACAAGTGGGACTACTTTGCCAGGTGGGAGTTTTGTGGTTATGTGGTCAATATTCTTGTTATATTTACCTCTGTTCAAATCTTTCTTTCTTATTTTGTCAGGGACTGCTACAACCTAGGTATTCAGAACAACTCGGACTATCGTCGCTACCTGAAGTTTGCGCGAGTGTGTGAGGTGGATGGGGAGAAGCTCATCTGCACTCGTGATAAGGTGCTGGCACTCTCAAAATGGGCTTTCCTCACTTTGTTCATTCAACCAGACTTTTTTTTTCATGAAGTGCTTTTCATACAAAATACAATAAAATGCAACACCAGAAGGACCTCACAAACTAAAATCAATCTGGTCACGACACACACACACACACACACACACACACACACACACACACACACACACACACACGGACGCAGGTTAAAAACAATAATGTAGAACCTATGGCCGGGCACAGAGAATCCAAGAGAGGAAACACCATCTTTGGGAGCCGTCTGCACAAGAGACTTTTCATACAAAAAACAATAAAATGCAACCCCAGAAGGACCTCACAAACTAAAATCAATCTGGTCACGACACACACACACACACACACACACACACACACACACACACACACACACGGACGCAGGTTAAAAACAATAATGTAGAACCTATGGCCGGGCACAGAGAATCCAAGAGAGGAAACACCATCTTTGGGAGCCGTCTGCACAAGAGACAGACAGACCTCATGACACCGGCACAGAGCCCCAGTGCAAGAGGATACATATATTGAGTGATATGAATACAATAAATAGTAATAAAACAATGGAAAATAAAATTATAACAGTAAAGAAATAAAATATTCGGTTTGTTAAAAGATTGATGTGATGGAAGGAGTTTTTTTTTCTTTCAATTAGAAATATGTTCTAAATTAGAGGCCATTGTTCTCATCACAGGAAGTGGGCAATCTGTATGATATGTTCTACACGCGTAACTGTCTCCACAAGAGAGCCTACCAACACAGGGTGGGCAACATCATAGAAACCATGTGAGTACTTGGTTTTTGTAACTTGTTTATTGTTTCTTTTGAGAAGAGGTACTGTATTGGGAAATGAGACTTAAAGTTCTTCGACCTCATAACAGGTTGATTGTACCCATACAGGATCACCGAGGCCTTTTTGAAGGCCGATAAGCACTTTCGGGTCCAAGGCTCAGAGGGCAAGATGTTCACGCTCTCCGCAGCAATCGATGACATGGAGGCCTACACCAAGCTGACAGGTTTGTCTTGACCACAATGCCCTATGTTCTTTTTTTAACTGGATTATTATTATTTTTATTGAAACGCTCATCAATATTGGGTGTGCGTTTTCTGTGATCAGAAATAGGCAAAAAAAAACCTACACCCTCGAATAAATATTGAAAAAATTTTAAATTTGAATTTTTATCTCATGAATACGTGAGTGGCAAAGGGGGAGTATGCAGGTGTACACTGTAATACTTTAAAAATGGAACTATTTCTTTTTGATGCACTTACACCTTTTTAAATCCAAACCGAATTTTTGATTCAAACCATTTTATTGTTGCTCCCCTAATTATATAATATCTCAAATATGTTGTCATATGCTTATCCTTAGACTTTGTTAATTTACAACTACATTGAATTGGTTTTAGTATGCCCTTAAAACCGTGAGGTGAAGTCGGACTCCCTCTTCCTTCCTTTTTTTTTTTGTTATATCCAGATGGCCCTGGTGTAAAAAGTCTTCCCCATTTCTCAGGAAAATGTCACACTTGGATTCAAATTCTCGGTTTGTCTGTCTTGTAGATAGTGTGTTTGAACAAATTCTCCACTCACCAAACCCTGATCTGGCTGAGGCGCAGAAGATTCTACAGAACATTCTTCTAAGGCGCCTCTACAAGTGTTTGGGTCAAACCCAAGCTGACAAATCCCTGAAAGTCACTCAGGTGGGTGTTTGACGAGAAGCCCTCAAAAACAACCAACATTTGTGTCTTTGATAGGGCTCCTCTGAGATTGTGCAGCTGTACCAAGTAAGTTTGAAGTTCAGCTGCGGACCCCCATTTGCGAGTACCCCAAAAAACTGTCACCTTCCTTTCTGCACGGAGTTGGTATTTTCCACTCAACACAATCCACAATTGTTCTCTTATTAATGGAAAAAAAAGACAATCACTGTAACACAACAAACACGGTCCCCTAAATATATCATGCTGATTACAAACTTTTCTCTTGTTGACACCGATCCTCACATCCTGTCTGAATGAACATTTGACTAACCACATGGAATCAATTGGCTGGTGCAGGGTGGAGATCAATAGATGAATAATAGAGTTTCTTGTTGCTCAGTAAGGTCGCATATGTACACGCAGTACAGTGATTCCTGGGGGATTCCAGACATACCCAAGAGAACATCTGTGACAGCGGGAGAGAAACTACTGTATATTAACAAACAATATTTTTTATTTGTTTTTTAAATATAGTTTGTACTTATAAAACACTCTTTTTAAACCAATTGTAAACAGATTTTTACCAAAAAAAAAAAAAAAACAAACCACGCAAAAAATGGATAGATTATGTGGCATGGAATTGATAGGTGCTGTTTCTGTGAATGCCCCTAGGTGGCAGTATTGGCTTGTGTATGGAGTTTAATAGCCTGTTGGTCCGCTGAACAAAAACACAAATGTGCAGTTTTGCTGTAGTGAGGGTCCGGGAGTTAATCAACCAATCAGTATCTGATGTGGTGCCTTTCATTTCAGAGTCACCTGTTTTTGTGGGCAGCCCATTCACACTGGAGCAATACATGCATTGAATTGCATTCGGCAAATGCGGGTCACATCAGATACAGACTGGCTTTCTGAAAGTAGAATGCTCCTAATAGAGTACAATTTTAGAATTGCCGTTTACTGTGGGTAACCTAAGCCTGTTGCACGCAACATTTTTCAAATCTCAATGTTTACAGAAGATTACAAAAAAATGGACATTTACAACAATTTACATCATTGTGCGTGTGGTGTGCTCTCAGAATTTTAACAGAGCACACCACACACATAATAGATTTTGTTCCACCATGATCTAGATTCTAGATCATGGTGGAACAAAATATTCTAGATTCTAGAATCTTGTCCCCCAAGCCAGAAATCTCAAATGGTTTTGTTGACTGCATAAGGTAGACGTGAGTTCTCAAATCAAGCTATTGTCTGGTGTTCTCCTACAGTCATAACACAGGGAGGACATGTTTGTTTCTAATCACAGCAGCTTCCTTGTTTGTCAGTTGTTGTGTTTCCCAACACATATGAAGGTTTTTGGCTGTAAATATTGAACACGTTTGATATCGAAGATTGCTGGCCCGATCCGTTTCGGATGCCTTTATTGGGACAAATTCACTCTGAACACACGTCAGACCACAGGATATTCCTATAGTTATGTATAGTATAGACAATTATATCAAGCATGAAATAATCTGCTATTGGTCAGCAAGAGAGCAAAATTGTGATGAAAAACAGTTCAGTCATTACTGTGTGTTCCAAAGGAAATGCTCCATGCCTGGGAGGCGGAGTTGGCTCGATCAGTCCCTCAGAGGGGCGCGGTGGGTGTCACTCTACTGCCTGAAGACTTTGTTGTGAGCGTGAGTTTCTCAGCTGCTCTCTTTTGTTGCGCCTACTCGCTGCTTTTTTGATGTTACCTTTCATTTTAGGTCATCCAAATGGATTACGGAATGAAATGGGAGAACCCCATTGACAATATGCGTTTCTATTGCAAGACTGACCCCACCAAAGCCATTTCCATAAAGAAGCATCAGGTCAGAACTCTGCCAAAGGTTTTCTTGCCTATCCGCCGGAGCTGCTCCAGCACAGAAGACCTTCGGCTCTCTTTCTCTGCCAGGTGTCCAAACTTCTGCCCGAGCACTTTGCAGAGCAACTGATCCGAGTTCACTATAAGAAGATGGATGATGAGGGCCTGTTTGCAGCCAAGAAGCATTTTGTGCAGTGGTGCATGAACAACAACTTCACAAAACCTCAGGTGACGTTCATCACGCTACAATATCAGGAAATGGATAATTGGTGATTAATAGTGTGCTGCTCTTTCGAATTCGGGGCTTCAGTCATGACGTGTTTCTTTAATTCGCAGGATGGAGACATAATTGCACCCGAGCTGACTCCCCTGAAAGAAAGCTGGCTGTGCGGAAAAGAAGACAGGGATGATGACGATGATGAAAATTTGGGCTGTAGAAATTTGAACCAAAAGGCAGTCAAGTCTCTTTTTTAGAACTAGGTCCACTATTGTTGTTTGTAACTTTGAGATAATGATGAGCCATTTTTTATTCAATGTGATGAAGTCAATTCAGAATCGAACAGCAAAGACATATTTTTCCAAAGCGGATTTCATTTTGTTGTACTCAAGGTTTTACTCAAATTAGAACCTCGGCTACAGCTGGGCTGTAATTGTATTCTTTTAACCGGTATTTTATTCTCTTAGGATCAGTGGCAGTGTCGCACAATCATGTATTTACAACATAAACAACCATACAGTGAACACCCTGATAAAAGAGTTGAGCTTTTTAATGAACAGATGACATGCCATGTGTCATTTCCATCCATTGCACAGCCTCTGCATACAGTAGAAATCCGAAATATATTGTTCGTGTCTCCCTTTCTTATCAAGTTGCTATTTGTGTTTGAGAGTTTGTTTGTTTTTTGCATGCATCTATCTTTATATGAAGTTTGCAGTGTAATTATTTTATCTGAGGTGTTTGGATGAGGCAACCAGCTCAGTGTGTACCCCGCCTACTGTCCAAAGACGGCTGGGATAGGTTCCAGCACTCCCGCAACTCCCGTGAAGATCAGATGGATGAATGGGTCTTTGGGGTGTTCATTTTTTTCCCTTCTTGCAATAATCAGTTAAACTACATCCTATTTATCTGTGCATGTCAATTTTACGTATTTACAGACCCCAGATACTTCCTTTCTCTCACGATATGTAATCCCTGGTTGGAAAAGAAAAGACCTATAAAAGAGTATGTGAACCAGTGGTGGCATTTGAAGAGGCTGGAAATAAAACATTTTCATTCGAGTGTATTTGTGGCTTTTATCTTCTCTTGGTAAAAGCAGGCTCTTTGCTTTCAATCAGGCAAGTGCTGATTTCAATTGAAACGTGTCCCAGAAACAAGCATAAGTGTTTCAAAGAGCGGAGGGAATTTGACCTTTAAACGTGGCATGGATTATTTATTTGTTTATTTATTCGTTCGTTTGTTTATTTTTATTTAGCCACACAAACAAAAAGTGTACGTTTTTTTGGTGGGGCGGGCGGGGGGTTGCTGATGTGTATATTTCTATCACAAGTCAGTTGGGTTCATGTGGGAGGAAGTTATTTTCCAAAAATGGCATCCCTCAATTCCTTTTCAGTTGCAAAAAAAAAAACAAAAATGAAGAACTTGAAGTGGGCGGAGAGCAGAAGCGTTGGGATACAATATGGTCGTCGAATATCACGCATTTCTAGTTTCCATTGGGTTATAAATTATATTATATATAAAGAATACCAATGATCGTGGCGTTCCCGTTTTTTAATGTATTTTTTAATTTAATTGTAGTAACATGCATTGAACACCAGAGGGGGCCCTAGACTCAGCCAGCGTCAGTCCCAAAAGCTTTTCATGGCAAACTTCTGTTGTTTATACGACAATAAACTAAATTGAACCTACTGGCAAAATGAAGTTAATTATTTTAGAAACACCTAACATGTAAAAGTGAGGAAATTGTGTCTAGAGCACTTCCGTGTTAAAAAAAAATAAAATAAAAATAAAAGGAGTGAAGGTTAAAAGTCAATATATTGATTGAAATCATGTCCTCGAGTAAAAGAAAAAAAAGTACAAACTAATGTAGGCTGCGTGTGTATCCATCCTCTTGCTACTGTTATCCATTCATACTAAATTGACGTGAGCTGCACTCAAGTCAGACCAAGTATCACTACACTATCACTGACTTGGACTTACTGACTACGAAATTCGACTTACTGATAAGTATAAAAGTAAAAATGTATATTCACTGTCAGTTATACAAAATACCCTCTTTTTTATTAACTCTCATAGTGCATGTACTGAAAAGCGGGAAAACTAGGTAGCGTTGGCTCAGGTTTCATGCCATTAAAACCATGTGCCCGTATTTGCTAACATCGTGAACCCAAAAAAAGGTCTAAATTAGCTCATGATAATACAATCATCCTTGTTATATTGTGATTCAGTTTTACAGTCTCATGTTCTTGGGAAAAGTCAAAAGTTAAAAAAAAATGGAATAAGTGTCTACATGAAAAAAATATTTACTTAAGTTGAATAGCAAAAGTATTTGTAATTGTTTTCTTCCAACCACTGGTTATTATTATTACATATGGCAATACAGGACGTAAGCAGGGCCACACTGCCATGTGCACTTTGGGCAGATGCACACAAACCAACACACGCTCTTCCTCATCCTGTGGCACTGTGTGTGGGTAGGTATGTAGAGGAATACCAAAACACACACACACACACACACACACACACACACACACACACACACACACACACACACACACACACACACACACACACACTAACTGTGCACAGGCAGGACCAAGGCCATCAGCCTGCTAGTATTTTTATAATCTTCATCCTCTCTGACCTGTTGCACCCCTCCTGGCGCCAGTGGTCTCAGCCCTCCCTCCGTGATGCCTCAACCTTACACACGCGCGCACACACACACACACACACACACACACACACACACACACACACACACACACACACACACAGCCACACACACTCACACACACACACACACACATGGTGCTGTACACTTGGGGTAATTGAGACCAGCTGCTGCAAGGTTGCAAGGTGCCTCTTCCCTCAACTCTGCCCACCCCCCACCTCCCTGCTGCTGCACTTGCCTCCCCCCTCCAAAAAAAATATGTCTGTCCTCTCCTTTCACTCTGCCTACTCCCACACACCTCCCAAACGCCTCTTGTTGTGTTTGCCGCTTCCCTTCGCTTGTGTTGACTGACTGATGGTCATGTTTTTCTTGCCCTTCCCCAATACAGTTGTGCCTGTCGATTGTCACTCCAAGAGAAAGCAGGGAATATTAGCAGATATTTAGCTAAACTGGGAATGTATTCCAAAACCAAGAAAATGATCACGAAGTTTCTATACATCTATACAAGACGATGTATAGATGTCTCGTCACACATAGATTGAAATGTCAATGCCGTGGCAAAGCCTGTGAGAGTTACTCAATGTTGGGGCATCTGGAGTCTTATTAGTGAAAAATTGGAAATATTTACCAGTGCACTTTGCAGCTGTGACAATTGACAGTACCTTTTACGTACGTAAGGTAATAGTAGCTTAAATAATACTGGTCAATTTTACATGTCTTTTTAATCGTAGATGCAAATAAACTTTTCTAAATTATTGTTTTGTGGCGATGATTCCGAGTTTGTCATCCTTTTTTTAAAAAAAATCTAAATCAGGTTTTCATCATCATCATCTAGAACACATTAAGCCATCCCTGATCAAGATTTGTTGTTGAACAGTGTAATTCATTATAATTAAATATAATGATCAGAACCACCCTGCTCTCAGACCCACCTGGCTTCTCGAGATAGTGAATTGGGAACACTTGGCAGGAGATTGCAATTAGATATGTGTGAATGAGCTCAGCTCATACATAAATGTTAACTTCGTTATCTCGTCACTCACGGGACACAAACACACTTGTCATGTTTTTGTCTCTAAAGACCACCACATTGAATTTCCAATGAAACAAACGAGATGTGCCTTAACTGCAGACTTTCACCTTTAATTTGAGCGGATTTGTGGTACACCCAAATCAAGTATGACTGTAGGAATTATATCAGTTGGTTGGTCTATATTTATATGCCTCTCAGTTATTTACAATGGAGGGCCGGCAAGCTGCAGGCTAGCATCGATTTTTTTCGGATTAAAACCAAATTTACCATGAGAAACAAAACACCTCAGTCACGAACATAGCAATTTCCGGCCAGTTGTAATTCCAAAATCTGTTGTATTAACCTGAGATTTTTCGTTAGACATAAAAAGAATCGGTCGTGATGGCTTTCGACACTGATGCTAGTGACAACAATCATACCAAAAGAATGGTGAAAAAAAATGGCGAAATCAACGCAACAATCATCTCATCAAGCGCGATCATAGAACGGAGTGATGGGCTGGATTAATGTACAGTCTGTAATGGCCGTCTGCCCCCACAAGCTCACTGGCGACTTTCTGCAAACACCCTATTTGAATACTGTTTGATTATTGTCGTGTCAAATATATGCCTTCGTTCAAAAATGACTTTGAAACGCTTGCTGTAATCTACCATCTGGGCCAGTGGTGACAGTGTGAGGTGCACCGGGTGGTTGGAATGTGTGAAGTTTGGGGAAAGGTGTGTGGGTGGGGGTGGGGGGGCAGCATGTCAGACTCTCTTTTCCAGCTGGTCGGAAGGGTTAAACTGCGTGTGGATGGGTGTGTGTCACGGCCTCTCATTAGGGGCTGAGACGCTGCGGCTCCAGACCCCCCATGGTAGGATTGCCGGGTGAGTCTGCAGTGATCCTGCCACTTTGATGCCCCTGACCCCCGGTCCCTCCAGTGGGAGGTTAATGAGCCACAGAGCGCTCTGCAGGCCAGCCTGCTGTTGTTGTAAGATCGGAGGCGCAGGCAGCTTTAAGAAGAGCAACGAGGAGCCTCCAAGCCACAGAAATGTTTGAGGTGGTCCCCGACTCTGCTTGGATCGGATGACCGCATCGGTTGAGTATGTTTGGGTGCGGGGATGGGAAGGGTATTAAAATAATGCTGGGATACTTCAAATGGCACCTGCACATCATCCTGGCCTTGCAATTGTCACCACGAAAGCAGAACACATTGGCGTGAGATGATTGAATATGTATGGATATGTAGATGCACCATACCATACCATGCCATGGTAATGATATGGCATAAAGATTTTGTGAATCACTATTAAATCTTTGTGAGTCCTCCTGGTGTGGGTAATTTGGCCACCGGGGAGCAGTATATGCAGATCCAACGGAGCTTTCACAACTCAAGCGACTCAGTAAACTGCACTTCACAAAGACCTTGATAATTTGAGTTTCACTCTTTGAATTGAACTACTGAGATGAATTCAGATAGCTAAGTCAAAGAACATAACATTAACAGTGATTAACACGAATCGGAAATATTGTGCCTGCTTGGTAGCCAACAAATTAAGGCTCTGTTTACACAAGAAGAACTTATATAGATGGAAATCAAAAGCATTTGAAATTTCTCCAACGATCACGAGATGCAAATACCTGCACTGACTTAATTCTTTCACTGAAACAAATGACGTGTTGAATTTTATTTGTGCCTGCACAAAATAAAATCTAGGCTATACATTGGGTCAATTCAGCGCACCATTTTTTTCAGTGCAGCTCAGTCTCACATGGACGTTCCACGTGAGTTGCTGCATTGTGCTTTGAAAATTTGGAAAAGTTGATTTAAACACTAATAA